TTTTGTAAAATCCAAGCCTATTTTGAATATTTTTTTATACATGGCTTTTGCATTTATTGTTAAGTAAGTTTTGACTTCATAAGTAATATTATTGATATTAATTATTGTTATAATGATTTTATTATCTTTTTATTAGTTTTTAAATGTAACCATGATTGGCATTATTAATGTAATACTATTCTTACTGTACAGTTTGTTAATGTAAATAAATTTATTGAGAGTATTAAGAAATATTGTAGGCCTATATACTGTAGATTAAAATGTTATTTAAATTTAAAATATTTCTTAAATAAATTACTTGGTTTTTTCAATATCTAAGTGAAATCCAAACAATAAAAAGTTTTTCCCAGTTAACATGCATTTGATTATCATACTGTAACCCCTTAGATTAACCCATAACCATTAAATTTCCACCAGCAAATTTAAGGATTTTCATAGTAAATTCTGTAGATCATTGAAAATTTATTTTGTTTTTGTGACTTATTAAATGTAGGTAACATGTGCAATGACTTTAAAATACAGTGATATAAAAAGAACGTGAAAATTTGTAATTAATAAAATATATTTAAAAGTTATATTTTTTATTACATTTTGGTAATTAAATGTCAATTTTTATTAAGAAATAAGTACTTGCTAATTAATAATATTATAATTTTAATATGCCATTTATCTAGCAAGTGACATGGTGACTTTTGAAAATATAAACACTGAAGTAAATATGTTTTTTTATTTTTTATTATTTTTTTAAAAAATATAGTAATACAATTGAACTTGCCTAAGTCAACTTTGCCTAAACTCAATAATTTTTAAGAAATTTTATATTAAAACGAATAATTTTTCAGTGCCATTTTGGATTTCATTTCATTTTTTTCATTTCATTTATTTCGCCTTTTTTTTTTTGATAACAATACAGTAAAATATTCAGAAAATTCGAAAAGGTAATCCATGTTTCCCCCAAGAGCCGGCAGGATTACCAAAAAGTAAAATAAATTACTGTCTGAGTGGCTCTCCAAGCAATGGGGGAAACATGGACTAGCAGTATAAATACATTATAAAAATATATAAATATATATAAGGGTGAAAATACAAAAATAATTAACAATTAAAATATGTTCATTACTTATATTATTATTGTTATTTTTATTATTACTATTA